CAGCTTGAGCTTCGTCGTGGTTGGCATATTTGTATGCTTTGGTGGCAAAGGCAATGATCGTAGCCAAGATGTAGAGAACAAGCCAAGCTGCGGTGACATTCCAATCAATCCAGCTGGAACTCCATGCCTGTTCATTTTCTTTATTTTCCAGCTTTTGTTCTTTTGGCGAAACTTGGCGAGTTTTGACATATTCTTTAAGATCCTTGCTAGTCTTGTCAGTCTCAAAGAGCCTGTACATGTCTGGGTGACGGTGGAACATGTCAATGAACTGCTCTAGATTGATGGCATCAGCTGCCCAAAAGCTAGTAGTACTGCTAGTGTTGCCAGCAGCACGCGTCAGAGCCATTGATTTGAGAGCTTTCTCTGACTGGACATCTTCCAGCAGGGCATCAATGGCTGCTTCAATGATAGATTCATCCATGGGCATCTTGGTAGTTTTGGATGCTTCTATCAAGATTGCTTGCAGTTCATGCCGTTCCAACAGACCACTTCCATCCAAATCAAGACCTTCAAAAAACTTTTGTAGGGTTTCATTACGAATAGTCTCCTCGTCATGCACCCCAAGGGATGATGCTGGTGTGCGCACACCTTGAGCAGCAGTTTGCCAAAGTGCTGTGAGCCGGTTAGAACAAACACCATTACTCGCAGCAGATGTTGCTCCAGCCCAAAAGAACTTTTCATCATCATCATCAGCCAGTTCATCGGGGCTGAAACGGCGTGCAGCAGTGGACCGCACGATGGATCTTCTGGAGGGTCTTGTCGTTGACAGCAGAGCGATATCCTTCTTGCCTGTGATTGTATCTCCATCTCCATTCATGGAGATCGTCGTGGCGTTGGCAGAACGCTCGGAGGTTCATTTTCAGTATCCATATTCTTGCACAGATGCTTTGTCACTGAAATGAGAAATAATGAGAGCTTTGCATGGGAGGAAAGGCAAGGATTTGTGGAGGGAGCGATGAATGATCGAATCGATGTGCTACTACAGGTGGCAAATTTGGTCATGGACATGATACAGTTGCCTTGGTGGACTTTTGTTTTAAGTCCTACTGCGTCCGACCTCGCCGAGGTGCGAATGGTCCGATTATTGAAAGGGCCTGAAGTTGACACCCCTTTGTCTTAGTTTTCGCAGCTCTTTAACAACTGATGTCCCGGTGGCTGATGTATCAATAATTCCTTTTGAATACGTGGCATCAAGATGAGCTCTTTCTAAGTGGTACATGTACCGGTACGCAGTACAGCACTCGAACAGTAGTTCTTGCTTGTGTAGATGTGGGATGTCGGTACCGGTACAAAACATGGCTCTGTACAGTCTGCAACCGGTTCGCCGTTACGAACTGGGCGTGCACGTGTATACCGGTGTGTGAACCGTATGTACAAGAATGCTTGCAACCTCCACTATTAATAATCACGTGCTGCAAACTCCATCAAATGCAGCAAAGTATGAGTGCTAAATTATTTGACAGAGACAATCCACCCTGGTGCCTAGAGTAGTGGAACTCGGTTATGTCTGGTTTCGCGAACCCTCCTATGGCCTATGCAGTCGGTAACCTCTGATCAGATTTAGATTTAGCAAGCTCTCAAGTACCGTTGTAGCTACAGGTTGCTGGTTGGCCAGATAAAGAATGCCACTGGATATCTTTCGAACCACGTGATGGCAATCATCCTCATCATGCCGTCAGTGGAACACGACAAAGCATCTGCCTGGGGGTACCGGTACGTTGAAAGGGATGCAGACTGGAGACGAATATAGCCCATCAAGCATCGATGCCGGCGACAGCATCTCAATCTGCCTGCAGTCTCCGCTCCTCGTGACTTGAAAAGAATCAAAACCGCTGCTACAACTTAAAGTTCAAGGTCGTTGCTTCTGGATCTGCTATTCGGCCACCGCAGCCATGACGAATTCTTGCTTGCACGTCCAAGTCTGTCGCGCTTGCTGCGTGAGTTTGCCGTGTCTAAGATTAGCAGTAGTGGGCTAGCAAGAAGTTCATTGGACCTGTTGATCTGCCGAATTGTTCTCCATCCCTTCGTCAGGCTCTTGCATGACATCCTCTGCAATGGCATGCCATTCTTTGGCCAGGGACAAGGGCCTTCCTGCTTGTAGAGAAACCCCACACAATAGTCCTGCCAGTCGTCGACCTTGCTCTACCCAGTCTGGCACGGACTGTTCTATGGTTGTTTCAAGGACAGTCAACACGTTCATGGGTTTCCGGGGATGCCGAAATCTGGGCAAATGAAACTGGTGTTTGCCATGATGCTCTTTGTTGTTCTTGTGATGCATTTTGTTATGGTCTGCTTGTCGTTGCTGTTCGTCCTCGTCGGCAGTATCTTTTGCCAACACGTGGACCGGTGACAAATCAAACCTATCAAAGTGAAAGCTGGCAAATCTATGCAAAATATGGACATCATCCAAGACATTGCCTTCTTTCCAGGAAGCCCTGTATCCAGCTTCCTTGTAAATGTCTGTAACGGCTTGTTTGTCGTGTTTATGCAATGCCAGTATGGTTTTGGCTATTGATTTGCGTTGTTCGTTGGTAACTCGTCCCACCATTCCATAGTCAATCAGCCCCAATCGACCGTCTGGCAGTATCAAGACATTGCCTGAGACCACCAGTGTAAAAAATGTTGAGGAATCTTGCACAAAGAGAAAGAACTGACATGAAAGTCCAACTAAACCGCACAACATACCTGGATGAGGATCCTGTACACACAGAGGTAGAGACAGAGAGTTGGAAAGAGGAGAGAGTTGGAGAGAGAGTGAGGGCGTCGTTGAATCTTTGCACAATCACTGCTTCACGAAACAGATAGATCGATACATACGCACCGCATTGTAGACTCCATCCCGCAGAATTTGCAATCCATGAACATGGACCAGAGTCTTGAGGATCTTTCCCATGTTATGATGAATGGGTCTCCGTTGTTGTCGTTGTTGCCGCCGTTTCTGTCGATGTTCTGTACTTGGCAAAAGCAGTACATCGACTACACCCTGTCGTAGATTGTCCAGTCCATTTCTAACACCGACATAGGTCCGAAAGACAGCCGCTCCCACGGGTCCCATGGCGATTCGTTGCAATGGGTTCAAGTCGGCTCCACCCCCGGCACTAATGGCACTCCAATCACCACCGCCTTTGTTGTCATGATGATGAGTATCATTCTCATCATGTGCATGTGTCTGTTCCAAATGCTCCCCAATTTGTTCCAATATAAATTCTCGCAATGCATCTCCACCACCTTCCTGCCCCAATGCCCGCGCCATGCGATCTTGTTCTTGTGCAATGGCCGCATGCAGCGTGGTCCCTTGCAAATATTCCATAACGAGGACGTGTTGCGTACAAAGTCCCGTTTCATTGCGGACCATCGGAATGCGAATGTGAGCCGGTTCCAATTGATGGCGCTTCATATTGTCGGCACATTCTCTCAAATGCTGGGCTTCCTCGCGAAAATCCAATTCGCGGGAATGTCGTTCTCGCAATCCCCGCATCATGTCATCGCATCCCGGTTGGACAATTTTCAGACACAACTCGAGATTGTTGAGATCGGCCGTGAATTGTTCGGCTACTTGCGGGTATTGTATTTTGACAATGACGACATCGTCGGGGTCATTGGGGTTGTTCTTTTTGAGAACGGCCTTGTGGGCTTGTCCAATACTGGCCGCTCCAATGGGAGACGAATCCATCCATTCAAAGACATCTTCAATGCGTTGTCCCGTGGACTGTTGGAAAATGGCGGCCATTTCCTGTATAGGGCGTGGTGGAATGCCATCTTGCAATGGCCGTAAGGCTTGAATATAGTCATCGTGTAGGATTCCTACGCCGATGGTACTCAGTACTTGTCCCATTTTGACGTAAATGCCGCCCATGCGTTGCACGAGGGCAATGGCTTTGGGTGCTGTCTTTTGATGAAATGCTTTCATTCGGTGTTGGTTGGTCTCTGGCGGTAACCTCCGCAAATTCCATTGAATGGATTTGTATTCGACAATCCACGGAGTGACAGATGTCCAGAATTGAAAGATCCGTTGCATGCCGCGGCCAAAACTGGGATTCAAGACGTGCATATAGAACATGGTGGCGGCGCACAGTAACAGAATGGTGACGAGCGTCGTCACGAGACTACTCTTGTTTTTCCACGATGTTGTCAGGAAACTACTAGTACCACTCGCCATGGCCGTGGGGAGCATACCAGCATGTTGCTTTCCTCCTCCAAACAACAGACACCAGTAGCCATTGCATGCTTGACTGTCTACGACATCGTGACCAGCCGATGAGGAAGGATCCAATAATGGCGGCATCTTGAGTCTTCGCAATCGTTGTTCCTGTTTCGACCAGTCTGGCTTGACAGCAAGGGATGTGGATGGCACAAAGGCAGAGCAGCAAGGAAAGTGACAAGAAGATGACAGCAGTAGTAGTAGTAGCAGTGCAAGAAGGATGACCATGGTCGGCATCTACGCGATGGCGATGGGCGATGCGTCATTTTCCTCCATGCCGTCATGCTAAGCCAGCAGGTCTGTGAAATAACTTCCACGGCGGAGCAAAGTCGTGGGCAACACGCACACCTCACTAGCCACAATAACCGTGCCGCTGTTGCCACAAAAGAAGACACTACTAGTCTACCTTGAACGGTCGGAACAAATGGCAAGGAGCGTACGAAGAAGACGAGCAAGGGACAAGCAAAGAGTGATGGCAAGAACACCAAAAGTAGACTACATATAAAAAGGGCGACGAGGCCAGTGTCGCACTTGACAAGCCTACATTTTCGTCTTGGATATCCTTCTGGTGGACTTGATTTGTGTAGTGCCACAGTAGTGCTAGTGCCACAGTAGTGCAGATGGAATGAATGAATGAATGAATGAAAGAGTGAGCGATGGCCCTCTGCTAGTATCACAATAAGATGCATTCTGTGAGAAGCTCTCTACTAGCAACTTATGCTAGCTAAAGAGTTGCAGCTGAAATACCCAGTGGATCGCACTCTTTTGAAATTACAAGGAACCAACGTTGACCAAATTTAACTTCCGTGGCTATCAAACTCCACCAAAAATGTTGGGGTTCACTTATACTTGTTACTAGTCTTCTTCTTGTTGCTGTGTATCTTGACGGTTGGATCCAACTGTTCCGGTGGTGGACAGGGTAGAAACAAGTCGTAGAGATCCATGTTTTGCCGTACAAACTTGGGTTCCAATTGCTGCCGTTGGCAAAATTCGGTGGAGGCTCTTTGGGCCATTGAGACTTGTTGTTCGTTGTTGTTTGTGGGTGGAAACATGACACGAGATGGGGTTCTAGTCGATGTCAGAGAGTTGTGGTGGTGATGTGGCTCTTTCACTGCCAGTCGAACCTGCGAAATGGCTTCCTCTGGTGGCAATGTCCATTCTTGACACTGTTGTGGTGGTGGTTGTTGCAGTTGGCGACATCGTTGTACGTGCAGCTCGGCCAAGGGGAGTAGGTTTGCCGTGATCATGTTTTCCAACACATGACCCATCGTCACGGCAGCGGATGTATCCAAGCTCTCCAAGACTTGTTCGAACGGATCGTTGCCCTTCTTCTTTTTCTTCTTGTCCTTGGGGAGTTGAGAAGACACATAGTCCCGTGCCATTTCTTGGAGATACTCCAAATGGGAGGGAAGTGGTGGATACGGATCATCTCCCATTTCCAGTGGATTGGAAACTTGAGTACTCTTGGTATTATTCGCTGTCACGTGATGAGTGGCCCAACCCACCAGGCTGTCCAATTCATGATGAGGCAACTGCGCCACCACGGATCGCATCCCCCAATTCCGATTGGCCAACGTGTTCCAATTCACTACGGGTCCGGAATAATCCGTTTCATCGACAACACCCAATATTTGGTCGGTCGCTTCTATCGGGCGTTTCCGACATTGGCCTTTTCGTCTCTCAGCAGTTGCACTACCTGGACCAGTGGCGCTCGCCTTCTTGTTGGACATCTTGAATGATTTGCTAAGCTACCGTAGCTAGTAAAGCCGTGGAGACGTAATAAAAGTTCTTCCAAGATTCCTTGGTCTGCGCCTGCTCTTGATACCACCGTATCGGCACTCTACTGAAGAGCTGTAGAAATAATGAAGGCTAATTTCCCTACTCTAAAACCCCCGTTATTAATAAAGAGAGACGAGACGGAAGCTCTTCGTTGGTCTTCATCAAATGATCCGTAGATAATTAGCCTACTCTAAACCCCCTTAAAAAAATGGACAGGGCGATGGCACACTGAGATTTCCAAAGATCAAGCCAGCAAAGGCTGTTGAGCTTCTACTGGTGGACGTGCCTCCTTGGAGGCAAAACCAGTACCCTTGGAGACTTCTGCAGGAGGAAGACCTATCGGTAGCCGCTTCAGGAGCCATGTCTCCTTCATATGATGGGAGCCCTCTTGGTGGGATTCGCGGCCTTTTCTAGAAGGTTGGTGCCTGAGCTTTAGCTAGCCCAGCCATTGGCTTGAGAACACATGTGCATAGACTAGTTCCAACAAATTGCGCAAAACTCATCAGAGCTTGTGGTGATTCTGCTTGGTCTCACTGACACCGTTGGATCGGATCCAACGGGAGCACGTGCGGCAATCGAGGTTTTGGGGGGAACTTGAAGCTGACAATCTGAAGATAGAATAAAGAGATCTTTCACCTCATAGGACACAAGAAGTTGATGTCTCGTACATCGTCTCCTGCTTGCAATAAAGGCACCTCCGGCAATACAAGCCCAGGAAGTGACAACAAGATGCGGTATTCTGAACGATTTCAACCTGGTGATCATGTCTATACATGGCGTGCCTACGGTAAGATCCAAAATGCATATCAACACCATGGTATTGTGATTGCCGTTCAAGACGTTGCTGGGAGGGCCGGGCAACAGTTAAAGATATTCGACTTATCAAGAGGGAAAGGAGCAGCAGCAAAACAAGAAGATAGTAGCTTCACCACTAAGTCTCATTGCGAGAAAGACGAACGTTGCGGCAAGCCTAAGGCAGGCGTCAGTCACGAGGAGGCATCTCCGTCCGATGGCTTCGTGTGCGTCAAATCAGTGCCTTCAGAGGGTTGGTACAAGGTCCAATATGGAGTACGCAGGATAGAATTTCTGCTAGGAAGTGCAGGTACTTGCACAACCATGGATTGCGATGATACTAAAGTTGTTCTCAGGCGAGTGGAGTTCTTGCGAGCGAATTCCAATGACATCGACGAGGACAACGGCACCACAAGCAGGTGCACTTTAGTCCCAGAATACCATGTCCTCTTTTCCAACTGCGAATGTGTGGCAGTCTGGTGCATGACAGGTACCTGGTCCACAGTTCAAGGGAGCTCGTTGCTGGGAAAAGCAAAAGCAGCTGTGCCGATCGCAGCAGGAGCAGCTGTAGTAGGCGCCTTCGCCTTCATGGTGCCAGCTGCAGGCTTGTGGGGTTTCCTCGGCTATTCTACTCCGTTGGCAATGGCAATACCAGAAGTCCCCGTTGGAATTGCTCTTGTAGGATTTTCAGGCACCGGCCTACTGACTCACCACGGTTGTCAAGCCAAGCGCTATTGGAGTGGGAAAACGGTTGAGCTGAACAAAGCTTTCGATCTGTATGTGGCGCGTAACATGTAGGAGTCTCGGAAGATACCTGTATGGTGTGGTTTGTTTGTCCCTTTTGATACCCTGCAAGCTGAAGCTTCTTCTATTAGAGATCGACACCCCAGAGAGGAAACGCAAGTCAGGCTGGGCAAAAGGTGCATGTTTAATGGAACTTATTAGCATTATTTTCAACACGAACTATGGCTGCTCCTCAACTCGAAAGCTACTTGAACCGCTTCATCGCAACGGCCATGGTTTGGAAGAAAACAAATACTACCTTACATGTGGCTCGGTCCTACACTCTGTCCCCACATGTAGACTGTGATGCCTTCCCGCATTCTTGTTTCTGAATGGATTGACTTGTGGGCAAGATGGCTTCTGGGCCTGCTCGTGCTACAACCCTATAGGTACGCTACTGAAGAGCTGTACTGGTAACAATAATGGAGCAAGTGGCTGAGACGGATGGCTGCTCATTTGAGTGGTAGCTCATCTCGATGGTAGGTTTGGATGACTGTGCACTGTGATGGCGAGGGGTATCTTCCAAAACTCAAGCCAGCCAAGGCTGTTGATATTTCGTTGGTCAGACGGTGTCAGACAAGAAGGGGTTGGCTACTGGTAGCTGGCTCTCAAGTTATTGTTCTGGAAAGAGAAAGGTAGCATTGCCCAAGATCATGGATATCACATCTCCATAGATCTTCTTGATCGTGCTTCTAGCCAGACCCAGGGATTTGGCTGTTCCTTTTCCACCACGCTATTCATTCATTTATTCGTTTTTCGTTACTAAGACTGGTGGTTGATTCCTACATACGGTAGCACAGATAGGCCATGGCGAGACATCATTCCAGAGCCTCACTGCATGCTGCACATGAGCTCTTTCCAACATCTGATAGCACTGGTCATGCAGGTGAGGACCCTATCTCGCAAAAGAAGCTCCTTGTTGATCATTGCGAGGGTGTTTGGAATGTCGAAAAGAATATTCTTGGATGGATCTTTGATAATGGATTTGGACGCACTATGCAACTCCTCACTCCCAAAATTGAGAAAATGCTCCAAGCTATCAGACATATCATTCACCACAAGTCATGTGCCACTACAGAGTTTCAGTCAATTATTGGCAAATTGCAGCATGCTACCCTTGGCCTTCCAACAAAACAGACTTTCATCACCACATTGTCTCCCTGTCTCAAGAGTTCCCACCACTCAACTGGCAGGATTCACATTCACACACCGTCTCTCTTGAACAAATTCAATATGAAGCTCTTGTACTTGAGGGGGGTAATTTGGAAAACACAATGTTATTCAAAACTCTCCCTGCTGATGAGGATGCTTGTAAAATCCAGCAGAATAGCTTACACGGTGTGTACGGTGCGGGTGAACTTGTCTCTCAGCTGGCCGTTGGATTCTTCTATCCTTGGTGGTATGCCATATGTTGCTCTTACAGGTGAGACACTTCTGACTGCCATGTCCTCTGCTGACTCCTTTACCTTCCAACTGATCCAACAGTGTGCCAGTTGTACCGACAACATCATGTTTGTGGAATACTTACTGTGGGGAGGTTATCTGTTCATTTTGTGATCGGTGTAGCAGCAATCACTGGACTTTTCCCGACTGATTTGTTAGGTCATGCAGAAGTGCCTCCGGACACAGGATTCGATCGCATCTTTCCAAGCGTTGCTGATTCCGACTTGGCCAAAGCTTGGTATGAAAAACATGGTCACTACCAAAACACACAAGAACTACTTCGAGCTTCCTCGCATCAGGTAGAGGAATCCATCGCTGTATGTGAAGAGAATGTGTGTCAGAGTAAGAGCATCAATATGTCTGAATGTTGGAATGGAAAGCAGATGCGTGACACGGCATTTCCTGGAATACCCTACCTGAAATGCAACATGTCAACCGGATTGATTGAAGCTTGGAAAGCTAGTTCTGGAACGATGGAAGTTATTGAGCCACTGTTCTTCTTGAAAAAATGTGTTGTGGATAGACTTGGAACTTCTGCCTCAGCTCGGTTCTTCAAAGCATCTTGGCCCAACAAAAAGCAGAACAAAGTTAAGTCAAGAAGTCAATAGCCCCGTAGGTTCCTGCAATTTGTGAGCTTGCCCACCTAGCTCGAGCGACGAGTCCGGCTATAATCTGTCCCCCCCCCCCAGCATTATAGGTGGAACAAATAAATGGATACAACTGAGACAATCTATCTACTAGCAAGCTAGAAGAACGGCCCCTCGAGCCGCCTCTACAGTTGAAAGCACTTGTCGTGTGTCCCTTCATCTTTTTGAACGGATTTTCTATCGCTGCAATGGTGCAGACAACAGGAATGTGATCGGAAGGTTGGTCTTGAGAGTTCCCCATAGTACTCACGAGCCCCCCATCAGCAAGAGAGGAGAAATCGAAGTCATGAACCCTAAATTGCCATTGCGATTGCAGCATTCCTTCAAGAGGGGCAAAGAACCAAAAGGGCAAGCCGTCGATGAACTCGCGCAAGACTGCATACTGTATTGTTGACTTCTTGTCCTCATGCATCTATCGTTTACAGCAGCTAATCCTCGGCATATATTCCTCCCTCCACCAAATTGGTATCCCTCCATTCCATGACTCTGTATTTGTGCGCCAATTGGGGACATTGATCGGTTATGGACAAGACCAACTCGGCAAAGAGTGAATCGGCCCAACAGAACCAGCTGTACAGCAACGACAAAAAGAAAAAGGCAAAGTGCATGAGTCCGTGAATGAATCTAAATTTCCATTGGCAACACATTGAATTAAAGTGGCGCTACCATATTGTATACGTACGATCGAGTAAATTTCCTTGGATTTCGAACGTCAAATGATTCGTGCATCCATCCGGTTCCGGCCGATGCCGCCACCAACGTTTCGACGAGTTTTGCCTTTTCTTGTGTATCGGAACTGGTCAATCCCTGCACGGCGAGCGACATGGGCCATATATTGTGGGCAATGGCGGCCTTCATGTGTGGCGACCCGTATCCTTGAATGGGTCCCGTCATGGCATTGCTTCCCGATTGGAACGTTGGATTGTCATTGCTGAAAATGAATCGTTTCGTGTTTTCGTATATTTGTGGATCGTAGTGTTTGTATCCCAAGTAGGGGATGGAGAGTAAGGATGGGACATTGGCATCGTCCATTAATAGACTATTCCCCAATCCATCCACTTCGTAGGCATAGATCTTCCCATGCCGGGGATGATTCACAATACCGTGTGTTTCAATGCCGTTTTGAATTTCGTGTGCCAATTGTTGTGCTTTGAGTGCCAAGGCAGGGTTATTATTATGCCACGGCCCACCAGCAGATGCCATTTCGACAATATACTCCAAGGCGACGACGGCAAGCATATTGGAGGGAATGAGGTACCCGTACTGACATTCGTCATCACTGGGTCGGAATCCCGTCCATGTGAGACCCGACGACGCATTGGTGGGAGATCCTTTGCCATTGCGTGCCAATCCGGGATATCGATAGGGTTTGTTGCAATTGAGACAGTCCAATAACGGCCCCGTGGGATACTGGTCATTTTCGTGTTGTTGTTCCGATTTCCAGACATCCACCATGATATCGGCAGCTTGTTGGACGCGTTCCAAGAAAATGACACTTTTTGCAGTGTCAGAAGATGATTGTTTCCAATAATAGTATACCATCCGCATCCAGAACCCAAAACTATCGAGTTCGTAGTTCCATGTAGAAATGAGATCGTGTCGTCCCATTCTTTTCTGCGCGGCGGAAAAGATGTAGGAATCGTCAATGCGAAAGGCATTGGCGTACGGGTCGTGTCGAATATACGTGGCCGTTCGTGCAATCAAACCGGACACGATGCGATCCAATTTGGGATCTAACGCCACAAGTGCTTGGGTGCGATTGGGACCAAAGAGGGGTACCAGGAGGGGATGGACTTGAGCGGCCGAATCGCGGAGCCATAAATCGTCAATGTCTCCCGTATGAATAAACGTTTCGCCGTCGGGCAAGACAATGGTGGTGGTTTCAATCGTGTGCCATAACGTGCGCGTGCACATGTCAATGGCAGCTTGAGATAAGGGAGGATACTCGTGTGGATTGCGTAATATTTTGGGGTATGCAGCCGATAAGATGGGATTATTACGTCCACCAGATGATGATAATGATGATGGAGTGGAAATGGCTGCATGATTGGATGTAGTAGTGGTTGATGTTTTAGTAGTAGTGGAAGAAGTAGATTTCAAGAAATATCTGGCCAAGAGGGACAAACTGGCCACAACCACTAAAACGTAGAAAATGACGAAACAAATGGGAATCCAAGCTCTCAGGGTCTTGCCACCTTTGCGTTTGCGCAATTTCTCCTTGCGTCGTTTTCGACGATCCTTGGGTAGGATGGGTACATCTTTCAGGGCGCCTCCCGGCATCTTTTGATTATTACCCGTGCTACCGTTGGTGGAAGGAGCACCACTCACGGGAGCTTCCGAAAGATCATTGTCACTGCTGCGTCCTCGACGGTTCAGCATCCTGTATGATACAGCAAGAGACAGCCACGAAGCTACTAGCTGGTCAACAGATACAGCAGCAAGAGACAGCAAAGATCAGGTGGGAGCGGATAGAAGGAGCTTGTCTATATACCGGGCAGACCCCGGTGATCTCTGACCCCGTTTAATATACCGGGCAGACCCCGGTGATCTCTGACCCCGTTTATTGTGGTGGTGGTGGGTTTGGTTGGTTGGTTATCCTTAGGGTTAGAGATTTACTTCAACCCCTCGTTCTCACGCGTTCTCATAATAAACATACGGTAGCAACGGATCCTAAATTTTCCTCATGATGCCCACCTCTAAACTCCCGTAAGCTACCACGCCACTTTCTCAGATGGAAAATCTAACTCTCATTGCACACCTCTAAACTCCCGTAAGCTACCACCCACTTTCTCAGATGGAAAAATCTAATGACTGGCCTTGCACACCTCTAAACTCTTGTAAGCTACCAGGCCTCTTCTCAGATGGAAAAATCTTACGTCTCACGTTGCACACCTCTAAACTCCGTAAGCTACCACGCCACTTTCTCAGACGGAAAAATCTTACGTCTCACGTTGCAACCTAAAACTCCCGTAAGCTACCACGCCATTTTTCAGATGGAAAAATCTAACGTCTCATGTTGCACCCCCTAAACTCCCGTAAGCTACCACGCCTCTTTCTCAGACGGAAAAATCTAATGACACTACCTTCAGCCAAACTTTAACAATATTATTATGCCGGCCCATCTTTTAATTCAGCTCGCCCGGTATATTATTCACCTCCGGTGTCCTTTTTGTGGTGGTGGTTGGTTGGTTTTGGTTGGTTGGTTATCCTTAGGGTTAGAGTTTAACTAAAACCGAGGCCCCCTCTCTTGGGCCCCCACATTTCTTACACATTCTCTTTTATAGCAACGGATCCGAATATTTTCCTCACATTTGCACACCTCTAACTCCGTAAGCTACCGCCACTTTCTCAGACGGAAAAATCTAACGTCTCATGTTGCACACCTCTAAGCTCCCGTAAGCTACCACGCCACTTGCTCAGAGGAAAAATCTAACGTCTCATGTTGCACACCTCTAAGCTCTCCGTAAGCTACCACGCACTTTCTCAGACGGAAAAATCTAATGACACTACCTTCAGCCAAACTTCAACAATATTAATATGCCGGCCCATATTTTAAGTCAGCTCGCCCGGTATATCTATTACACCTCCGGTGTCCTTTCAGGTGGGAGCGGATAGAAGGAGCTTGTCTTTTTGGTGCCTTTGGGATGGGCAAATCTTGCAATAGCCTTGTATTGTAATGGATGTGACTCGCTAAAATCAGTTAAAAAGACGAAATTCGTATTTTTGCCAGAAGATAAATTTAATTGGATTAGATTGGATTGGATTGCATTGAATTGGATTGAATTGGATTCCAATTAGTACTGTTATTTTATATGTAAACTGTAATTCAATGCATCCAATCTAATCCAATGCAATCCAATCAAATCCAATAGAGAAAAACAGCCAAAGTAAAAGATTGGCTTAGGGCACACAATTTTTACAAAAACGCTCTAACAAATTCAACACAGAGCCATGGCAAGTTTGCTCATCCCCTTTGGGAGGACGAAAAGGACGTGGGTCCGGTATCTTTGAGAGTTCGTGGGAAGATCCTTGCTCATACCGGTAGCACACTTGCTCAATGTAATGGGACTCAAAAGCCATCGATCGTGTTTTCGGAGACAGCGCCGCTGGCTCCGCATCCAGGTCCGCCTCGGATGCTTCTTTCGAAGCTGGTTAGCCCATGGCCGCATGGGTCAGTACCAATGCTGCCACCGCGTTTGAAACGATGGACATGGTCGATGGCTGGCCGGATACGAAAATGCATACTGTACATTAATAAGCTTTGGCAAGATTGGGTACCAGTACGTAGCTAGCTAGAACAGAAAAGAGAGAGGAGAGGGAGAGGCTCACAAATCCAACAAGCTCACAATTTTAATTGCAACGAACTCACTTGAACACCCAACCAACTATCCGTCTACTATACAAAAATGAAGACCTTTGCCTTGCTCCTCTCTTTTCTAGCTGCTACACAAGCAGCCAACCTTCGAAGCACTACTTCTGCCCAGGACGAACTAAAGCAGGAAGATCAGCAAGCACGAAACTTGCAACTAATCAATGCTGATCTGCTCAATGGACTCATTGGGACATTCTTTGAACCACAAATTGATGATCTTTTGCAAGGTGTCTTGGGCGATAACTTTGACCCCATTTATTTGGGCCAAGAAACCACCATTCAAACCGAAGAATTGGAGCTGGCACTTCCACCCAATGGACTTGTCACATGCCAAAGCTCTGCTTCCATCACTTATGGACTGGGCTACATTTCAGGCCTCAGTTCCATTCAAGTCAATTCTTTGGAACTGGTACCCGGCACGGAAAACATCAACATTGGCATGCAAAACATCCTCACACCGTCGGCCACATGGAGTGGCACCTGGCTGGTCAATGCCACCTTGGATAGCTTGACGGCAGAAACCAGTGTCACATTGAGTGCACAAGCCTGCGGTATCCCTTTGGAACAAAAGGTGACCGGTACCACCACCCTCCAAACTCCCTCCTTGCAAGCTTCCTTGACCATGGGAGGCGATACGGACAATTTGATTCTATTGACATCCACCAGTGAAATCACCACGGCACAAGCGGAAACCATTGACTTGGAGTTTGGAGCGGTCGATGCGGGTATTGAACTTGGTGGAACCCTCATTCCGGACTTTGCATTGGGCAATTCCTTTGATTCCTTTTTGCTCAATCAGCTGGTGAATGAACTGGAACCACGCATTGTGGATCTATTGAATCAAGCATTGACAGAGCAGCTCCCCATCTCGTTGCAGCAGTAAATTATGCAAGAAGCAGCTAGTCCAGCCAGCAGCAGAAAGTAGCCCAATGTAAAAAGTCTAGAGGTGAATATATGATTTCTTGTTGGCGTTGGTGGCCAGAGCTAGCTAGAAAGCAGGAACCCAAAACTAGAAAAGGTGTGGGAAGGTTAGAACAGAGCGGATCAGCCAACTGGTTTCCATGTGGGAGGCTTTGTAATTTAGGCGAGATTTGTGAACGGCAACATTTTGGGTCTCCGTACGTACAGTACCACCTGCCACAGAGTACCGTACTGAACCTGGGTGGGAAGCCGTGATCTAAAAGTTTCATTCTTCTTGTAACCATCTCGGAAGGAGAAGAGACATTGACAATGAAGATAAAAGATACGATGATTGTCAAGTTGTTGGTGTTTGCTCTGTTGATTGGCACCGGTGCCAGCGATTCTCACCTTCGCCCCGTGGCCAGTCCGGAACCCAATGAGAAAGCATCATCGCTTGCCGCGACCACTACTGGTACTGCTGTCGGAAATGAATTCCACCGATTCCTCCAATTGGATGCACTCGTCTTGAATAGTTTGGTTGATCTGTTTGTCCCCGAGTTGGCAGACGAAGTTCAGAACCTCGCCAAGGAAAACATGGACCCGGTCGACATCAACTACAGCACTTTGGAAGATCAGGGAGAATTGGATCTCAACGTCAACAGAACTTTTTGCAACCACACTACCGCCATTGTCGTTGCTACCTATGCTATTGGGGTGGTTACCGGTATGGGCACCATGCAGGTCAACAGTCTCGAGCTGGTACCCGGCACGGCCAACATCAATCTTCCACCCTTTTCCATCATTCCCGGGGCAGCTGTCACCACGTGGGAGGGCGTTTGGGATGTCGACGCAAATTTTGTCAACTTTACAGCAGCCACGGTAGCCACTCTGGCCAAGACATTTTGTAATTTTACTTTTGAAGAATCACTGGCGGGGGACAGTGTGATCGTGTCCCCAACAGCCACCGTGAGGATAAAGTTGGAGGGAGAGACGAATAACATTTACGACTTCCAAGCCTCCAGTCAACTCAATGCCGCAACAATTCAATCCTTTACTGTGGGATACCAGTCCATTGTCGCTCAGATTGGGACTTGGACCGACTGGGTCACTCTGGATGCAGATGAGCCCTTGGTAGAAATTGGCAACGAGGGATTTGCTGGTGACATCAGAGACCTGATATTGGAACAGATGCAGAACGGACTCAACGATGCCATGCCCTACAGCCTAGGAGGATAAATAGAAACGATTGTGATGATGACTAACTTTTTATCGATTGTACTAGCTGGTCGCCAGTGTAAGCAGAATTGTGCCAATTTCGGTGGTCCGAGCAATTGGGACTTTGGTCTTGTGAGGATGAGATGTTACTTGTTTGGTTGAGGATCTTAAAGAGGAGGATTGCTATCGCTTGACCCCAACAGCTCACGGAAAGAACAGATGCACGTTCCTCTGCAAGACGAAGAATGCAACGTCGATGTGGTCGCCATGGTTGGCAAGCACCCGGTGAATCCAATCAGCTCGTGTTACCAATTGAGCACGGCCTTGGCGGTTGAGATCGAGGCAAGTCTCTATGTTCCGTCCCAGCTGCGAGAGCCGGCGGTCCGAAAGGTAGTTAGAAGCAAAGTCGAACCGCTTCAGATGATGGTTGCGTTCCATGGCATCGGACAATGCCTGGACTGTAGCCAAATCCAACGGCGCAGATTCAATGACAAGCTCCTCGAGCGTGCCCAAGGCAGACACTAGTGGAACGACATACCAAGCATTGTCTTCTGGCAGCTTGTTCATTGAGCGGGCCGACGGGGTGTTTGACCACAGACGGAGTGTCAACCTCTTCAGACTGGAACTCTCGCCCAGCATGACAATCAAATCACATGTACTGCCCCGAGACCAACCCGAGCGAACCTGGAGTTCTTGCAAAGTGTTGTTGGCCGGTTGATCTTCTTGGTGTCGAAAGATGGCTGTGAACCAGGAATGTTCAACTCTATTGCCTACTCCTATGAGTACTGGCTTTCCAATCACTTGAAAGTCATCCAGAATCAGCTTTTGCAAGACAACATGGCGACGGAAAGCACCCACCAGAACACCTTCGTTGTCGTTGTGAAGCTGAGTAAGGCAATGTAACAAATGGAGCGATTGCAATCCGGAGGCACCGTCCAAAACCATGGCCAAACAAGCCGCATCGATAAACACGGCCTTCTTTTCTGGACCTTGGAGATGGAGGATTACCAGCTTTGGCAGTTGTGAGAGTTGCAGCACAATGTCTGTCGGGAGTGTTGGACGGGCACTTGCATCAACCTCGATGGAAACTTCTTGCAAGCAATGCGAGTGTCGTGACAACGCTCGCTTCGCGTCTCGCAATTGTTTGGTACATCCAGTGTCGACTGTCAAACCAATTCGTTGCACGGTTTTGCTTGGTTGTCCGATCCAGGACGCGATACCAGTTCCACAACAGACGGCCAAGATGGTGACACCAGCAATCGCAACCGATTCCTGAGGGTGATCACAAATGTGTTGTGCAAAGTTTGAAATCCACTGGAACAAAGGATGTTCCACAATGCATTGGGTGATCTTTTGAGTTACAATCGTTGTCTTTGACACAGACACATTTTGGCTATGGCTAGCTCGACTGTTCGTCGGTGATGACGGAGCTAGCCCCGTCGCTGGATGGCCAACGCATCGAAGAATGCTGTTGGACAGTCCCAAAAAAGAGACATACGGGGAGATTCCATTGCCTTCATACGCAAAGCCTATAGAGAGCACGCTGTTGACATGGTTGTTGCTGATCGTCATTGTTTCCTTTCCGACTTGCATACACTCAACGCGACGTGATGATGTGACGACGAGATATTCTAGCTAGTCTGGCCATTCAAGCCGTTTCTTTTTTCCACCCACCCGGCGCAAAAAGTCAAGCGGGAATCCTTATTCGTGACCCAAGGATACCCCGATAGCCCAAGGCTCATTTTTGTGCATCTGTTGTGCCATTTCTGGCAGGACCTGGCAAGCATTTGTTCTCGGGCTCGGGGCATCATTCATCCAAACCAGAGACTAATCAAACAGACCCAGCTAGCAGAAACTAGAGAGACGAAAAGCCATTCTTCAATCCCCATGATCGAGCTGACCAGCTTTAGTAGTTCATCCAACGACGACAAGACCAAAATGTTCGAATCTTCCTTGTACGTTCGTCCAAGCCCTGGGCCGCCGACCCGAAGGACCCCGCGTTCCATACTGAAGCCGCCCAGTTGCTTCAAGAGGAAGCCAAAGAAAACAGTCTCGTTTATTAATGACAGGGAAGCCTTATGGCGAAGGCTGCTCCGCGTCATTTCTTGGCTCGTCGTGGTCAATGTCTTGACGGTGATCTTGTTTACCAAGCGCCATTTTATCGCCATGGCTGGGCTGGTTTCCAGCAAACTCGACAATCAAATGCCGTCGGAATTGGCTCTGGAATCGTTGACAGATATGCCTCCTGCCGAAGTGACCCGAGAAATGCGGCAACACATGGCTCAGTTGGCTTTGGCAGAGGCGCAATACAAACAGATCTTTCACACACCTGCCACCAGTCAGGCCAGTGTCTTGGAACGAGGCTTTGTTCGTCAGTGGGATTCCTGTACTATTCAAAAGGCGCAGGAACGAATTGGAAACGAGAAAACACTGCAAGTATTGGTTCTCGGAGGACCAGGATCAGCTCGACCCTCGATCGATTGCGATCAAGAACGGTTTCAAGGCCATGAAGACGATGGCTATGCGGGACGATACAGCAACATTTTGGAACGGGAACTGAACCGAGTCTTGGCCCCTGGATTTCATCTGAATAGCACCGCCAAGACTGGACCTGAAGCCCCACCCTTTCAAGTCATCAACATGGCCCACGCTTCGTTGGTTCCTTCGGTTCAGGGTCTCGTTCTCGATCGCCTGGTTGACCCAGAGACTACCGATGTGATCATCTGGGAACACTCGCTGTATGATTTCAAAGGATCTGATCAGCATGATAGGGAGATGGACTTTTGGTTGAGTCGTCTAGAGGCACTCTTTCGAACAGCGAACCGACCCCCGCCGCCGATTCTGTTGTTACATCTCTGGGATGAACTCGTGGCTCTCGACAACCCAAGCAACACCCACATAATCGGAGACCGAAACGTAGAACCAGTCATTGACAATTATCGCGAACAAAAGGGGTGGAATATCCAGGTTACTAATGTGGGAGCTACGGTGGTGCAAGCAGCTCACAAACAAGCCTTTGGTCAACTGGTGGATCGCAATTACCATTCCACATGCCGCGGTTCCGAACTCATTGCCGACATGTTGGCTCATACATTCTACCAGGACATGGCCAGCTGTAATCAAACAGTTCTGGCCTCGAATCTCATGTCATTGCGCACGGATGAGGAGAGCGCCGCAAAACATGGTCAAACTTACACTCTGACGTCAAACACGTTCAACTACACCAGAAACACCACACTACCACTAACCGAGCTGCTTCTGCGCAAAGACATTCGGACAGTTTCGCTGAACCATTGGAAACCAAACTTGGGAGTGTCAAGCACGCATCTGAACATTCCCAATATGGCGGAATCAACTCATTTGTTGGAATTCGTTCCCGTGATGAACACACCAACCTCCAAAGAACTCCAAACGGCCAAGGTTCAATGGGCCATTCAAAAAGTCTACGAACGTCTGAGCTACCGATTGCCTCTCTGCGCAAACTTTGACTTTGTCAACTTGACCATTGCCGAGCCCACATTGGAATGGTTGGGCCTTGCCTACAAGGGAGGGAGAATAGATGCCTTTATGAATGGAGAGCCTCTCTCGTTGGTTCATGATGGCAGAGCCTTGTCGGGAGGATTGGAAGGCATTCGAGATTGGATTCATGTAGGACATTTGCTGTCGCCAGCTCCATCCTACAATGTCTCCTTTTGCAGTCGCAAGGTTGATAAACGAGGCCAGTCTTCAGTTTGGCTTCATCAGCTTGTCGGACTGTTGCTACCATCGTCGTCCGGCGAATCAAGAAGTGAACCTCAGTTGCCTAACGGCTTCTAGACAACACCAAGATGCAGGAAAGAATGGAGCCCTTGTTTCAGGCGGCGCATCTGGCAGGACGAAACTTCGTTGTCGCCAAATACTCCGTACGTTCTCTGGTCGATTGTCCAAAACTACAAACAGAGTGTTAGATTCTAAACATGCATCACTTAACGTATCCATTTAAAATATGCATAAAACTAAAGTGATTGACGCCATCGTTTGTCCTGTCTGTTGATGATTGCTACGATGAATCGATCCAAATTGTGACCCCAACCTGAATCGCTGTCAGTAAGTGAGAGTTGTCGTGTCAATCTAATTCATTGCTCACAACCGGCAACTCCATCCTATCGCCATTCACCGAAAAAAGGCTAGATGTCAATCTCCTTCAGTCTGTCTACATTCCATAAGTACGGAAAGCGGGTCGCACCAAGGAAGGGTTGATGTGGAATCCCATGAACCAACCCTTGGGCGTCACGGACGCCTTGGGGAATTCGGCATTCCAATCACCCAACAACTTGGCGCAGTCATTGTACGAAAGGTAGAGACCTTGAGCCTTGTACTTGGCTTGGAAGCCATCCTTGAAAAGTTTGACAACATCATCACCGTTGCAACCTTCACCCGGCAAGAGCATGGCATCGGCAAACTCTTTGAATTCCTTCTTCATGATTTCGTTGCGCTTTTCCTTCATGCTTTCGTGGAAGCGTTGTACCAACTTTTTCAAATGCTCAATACCAAAGGCAGCTGGCATGACCATGCGAGCTTCTCCAACACCATTGGCCTTGAACTCGTAGGGCAAGTCCAGAACGGTGCCAGAGTGGCTGCAGGAAACAAGCAAAATGTGATGTGAGTGGTATCATGTCATGATGGCGTTGTGATGGGTGCGGCAAGCAAAAGGGGTCGCTTACCAGCAGTCCATAAGGGAGGTCACAGTGACACCACGAGCCATGGGGCCAACTAAGGCAGTGTAGAGGTCATCGTCACGAATCAAACCGGCCGTCTTGTAGTTCACGGGTACGAGGCATTCGTCAAATCCATCCTCTGTGAAAATCCGAGACGCCAAAATGTAGGTGGAAAGGAAGGAGGGAGCCAACACAGAAGATGGGGTTAGGTAAGAGAGAATACACAAGATAGCTAGAAATGCTAGCTAGCAAGCCATGTACACAAACATGCACCGATAAGTCAGTCTCACGTAAGTCAGTCTCACACAAACAAGCGTACCTTCATCACCATCGTCATCTTTGGCTCTTCCACCATGTCCCGAGAAATGGGTAAATACGACATCTCCCGCACGGCTGTTGCGCACCAAAGACTGAATGGCCCAAAAGATGTTGGCCCGTGTGGGGAGATAGTCCGTGCCATTATCACGCAAAATAGCAATATTCTTTTCCTCAAACCCATGGACATCCATCAAGTATTCCTTCATCTGTAGTCATGGCAATATATAGAGAGAATGGATAAGGTAGATGGGAGTTAGAATCATAGGCAAAAAAGCAGAGAAATTGAAGGGTATACGAGTAAAAGGTATCTTGTACTCACATTTTCGACATCATTATGACATCCCGTGAGAGCTCCATCCTGCCCGGTGTAATTGATCCCAATCAACATGGCTCTCTTGGTTCCATTGAAACCAGGTGGGATGATATGAAAGGGCGCCTTGAGTTCGACGGGACGAGATCCCGTCATTTGGGGGATCTGGGTAAAGCCCATGTCCTTGAGGGCCCCACGCATCTTGGTAAGGACCTGATCAAAGCTCAAATCCTTGGCCGTATCCTTGTGATCATTGTACAAGATCTGCAACAGAGCCGAAGTACAGGCGCCTCCGGCTCGACCAGCTGGATCCGGCAACTTAAAGTTGGCCACATTGGACACATCGGCACTCGTCTGAGCATCTTCGCATCCCGAAATCATGCGGAAATCCGACGGGATCATACGCTCGACGTAGTCATCGCGGGACATGGTGGAGAAAGAGACAAGATTAGCAACTCAGGTTGGTATGGTGAGAGATGTAGTGCTTCCGTTTGAGACCTTTTTGCTTGGTTGCACTTCTTTCTCGATCGAAGGCTCTGTTGTGTGTGTTGCCGAAGGTGAACCCTCTCCCTCCAGTATCACAGAAGGATTCGCACACCAAAGAGCAATTGGATCTTTCTCGAAATCTGAGCTCATCAGGGTCATTTTTTCCAAATGAATGACCGATTGGGCGCTCAACACCCAAGGCATTAACAGAGGAAGCAAATTAAATCTCTCAGTCGCATCTTTTGCAGCCCGGTCATGGTTGCTTCTGGCTTGTGGCGACATGTACCAGGTACCAGTAAAGTTGATCCACAACATCATGTAGCCGGCTATAGAGGCTTGGCCCAAGCCTCCAGTTACATGTATCCACAGCTGACAACACGAGAAAAGCTCGCTCCGGCACAGTTTTGGGACACCGGTAGGATACTGTACCAGCCACCGGTAGCCTTCAGCTGAGGTGCTTTGGAAAATGTCCTTCGGAAATTGCACATCTCAGCTGAGATCTGGAGGCTACCAGCAACGCAAAACGGCACAGGACGAAGATGATCAGATCGCTCAACAAGAGCACCGAGGCGTTTTGCTAACGGAGAACTGATGTACGCCGTTGATCTGTGACAGAGAAGCCCCTTCTGTTTTTTCCCAGTAGTTGATTATTATGAAAGTAGTGTGTAGATAGTAATGAATCACAATCGACTAACTTAAAGAGTCGCAGGCATCACAAGGCATGAGCGCCCTAGCAATGAGAAGCGTATTCAATCGGTGCTGCAGGAGAGGTAACATCGGACATTGTCGGAGACATAGTTGGCCCTTGTTCCAAAGGTCCTTTGCCTTGTTCGAGAGACGGAGACTCGTCGTTGCCTTCCACGTAGATTTCATCAGGTTCATCAGGGAAGGCTGAGGTGATTGGCCCAAAGAAAGACAGCAACACCGGCAGCACCATCAATCCATGTGCCACGGCAAGCACCACCATGGAACAAAGAGATGTAAAGACTGTTCGCATAATCGTGCTGCTGCTGAAAGCCAACGGAAGAATGCCCAACAAGGTTGACACACCACCAAGAAGAATAGAGCTTCCCATTGTCTCCAAGGTTTCTTTGACCCGTTCCTCCCTTGTGGGAGCTTTAGATTCCACATATCTCAGCATAATGTGTAGAAGAAAGTCGACAATCAAGCCAATGGAGATCACCAAGCACACAAATGTTACAGCATTGATGTCAAGGCCTGCAAGCTGCATCACACCTTCAGTAGGAATTGGAATAGAAGAAATGGCAGATACACGCAGTTTGATTAGAACCACACCCAGAATGAAGGCTAGCATGAACAGCTTCAACACTGAGATAAACTTACCCAGCAAATCAATGTAGACAACCGATACCATGGGAATAATAAAGCACACAGCAGACCAGTGGGGTATGAAAATCAAAGTGATGATGCTCACAGCAGCAATGCTCAACACAGTTGACATGATCAATTCACTGATGGCAATATTGTAGAACTCCCAGATCAAATAGATATCCTTGTAGGTAAAGAAAGACTCTTGGCCATCCAGCTTCCCCTGGTTGACAACTTGTGCTGTGGTAACTGCCCGCTGATCATTCAGGAAGTCAATCTGGTTTTCCACTGTGTCCATGAAGGAGTTTTGGGCTAGAATAGTGCATCGTGATGCTGTAATCTTGCCAGTGTCATTGTCAATGACAATATCTTTGCCGTAGCCCTCCTTGAAGGCTGGGATGTCCATAGCAAACTGAATCTGTTCTTCAAAAGACATGTCTTCCACCACATCATAGTATCCTGTCTCCTGAAGTCTCTGTAAGTCACGAACCCAACACAGTGGTGGTGCGGCTCCAAAAGCAGGTAGGGCTTGGATCTCTTCTACAAAGGAGATCATTTGCTGCTGTATGGCGGGATCCCCTTGATCCTCATTCCGGAAGAAGATATGAAAGAGAATTGACCTCTCCTGATAAGCATACATGCTGTCCATGGCAGAAATCATGTAAGACCCATCAGGGAACAAAGCCTTGACATCAAATTCTTGCCTCAGCATGGTCGTTCGGATGATGCAATAGCCAAAGAATGTCGAGAATAAACCCAAGACAACTACCTGGGACACTGGTTTGAGAAGTCGGCGTGCATACCATGCCATGACTTTGTCAGCAAAGTGCTGGGAATGACCTGAAGTGTCCATCGGCGCAACGCTGGTGGGTGACTCCCCACTCTCGGTGTGGGCACCTGCTGTGTTGCCCTTACAACAGATCACAATATCCTTTCGGTTGGCTTGAATTCTCCTCTCATCCAAGACCAGAATGGCTACAAAGAATGTAATTTGGTAAAGGTAATCAATGATGATGGTGGGCCAAGCTTGTGTTCAGATGAGGGCAAGATGCCATCGTAGACTGTTAGACGCGTGTATGCTCTTAATGACTTGACATCAACATCGTTACGAAATCTTACCATAGAGGCAAAGCCAATGGATGGCGGGGACACTTGAAGTCAATCCAAGCAGAAAGGCCGAAGCAGTGGTGATGGTTGTCACGCTTATACTTGACCCCACTTCGGTCATGGCCATGCGAATCCTTTCTTCGGTTTCCAGATTGGCATCTGACCGAAGGTAGGCTCCAGTAATGATGAACGTGTCATCAAGCCTGTCCAGATAAACAAAGAAGAAAGAATCGTTAGAGCAGAACACTTGACTTTCTTGCAACTGACACAGCACTGGTTGAAGTCCCGAAGAGCCAACATATACTCACCCGACACCAAAGACTACGAATGGAAGCAGCTGAGTCATGCTGGTGAAAGGAACGCCAAAAATGAAGAGGGCGCCAAAGCCAGTCATGAGTGACATGAGAATAGTAGTGACACTTCCAACTCCCAGGAGACACCTCGATTGAACACGGTTGTCTTTGAAGAACACGAAACAGGTGAATCCACTCATGACAAAGAAGATTATGGGCAGAAGAAACATATCTTCTTCAATAGCTCGACGGAACTCATCAGAAGGGGATCGCTCAGAAAGGTAATCAAGATGTAGGTTGAGGGAGTTGTCTTGATCCCATTGATCCTGTAAGGCAGCAAGTGTCTCCAAGACAGCCGATTCAAACTCGAGAGTCTTTTCTCCCTTGTCGTTAAGGAATATGTACACAAAAAAGGAAGGGATGTAGGTGATGTTGCCACTGTCATCGCGCTGTAGATTGCCCATGATGTATTCATGATCCACGGGCACCTCCCCTGGAAATTCTTGGGCTGACAACTGCCGAATCAGGTCATCTTCGCTTTGTACTTGACTGTCAAACAAGTCTACATCATGATACCAGAATCGAGTTGCTGACATGATCCTACAAGTGAACTCTTGGTTGTAGCCATCCCAATAAGCCCCATCCCGGCAAACATCCGTGTAACCCGTGGTGTTCCGCACAGCATCCACGGCTTCGAAGACCTTCTTCATGGCACTTGTATCTAGTACATTCCCCCCATTGTTATGGATCATCAAGATTGTGCCTCGGGTAGCTTCCTCGAAGCCAGACTCCGTGTCGTACCAATTGGAATGAAGACGAGGGAGACTGTCAAAAGGAGCATATATCTCAGTTTCTTCCACATTGATGTGAAAATTGGTTGCCAAGCCAGCTAACAAAAGAGTAAAAGAGAGTAGGATGATACCCACAATGCATCGAAACGGGTTTCGTGCAGCGGTCAGGGCCAGTTTCAGCACAAACTTTTGGTTGGCTTCGTGTAATTTGTCGGTGAGCTGGGTCCACTTGGCCCACTTGACGGGAGCCGGTCTGTCCGAATTGCCAGTACTCGTAGTTATAGAAGATTCTGTGTCTTCTTCACGTTCCTCCTTATTAATATCAGCATCATCAGGTCCAATGCTCTCGGTGCCAAAAGCAACTGATGCCGTGCGTTCCGTCTCGTCACGACAGGATTCTTTATCCGACGGCACGTCTTGAGAGATCTCCGTTGTGGTTAGTTCTGTTGGAGGTTCCACTTTCGTCACGAAGACTTCGCTTCGCTCATCTTCCTCAGTGGGAGTACCAGCTCTGCCAACAGCCAACTGTCGTGCGGAAACAGAGATTGTCTCATCACTACCGTCAAAATCTTGGTCATCCATGTTGTCTCAACAGTGATTAATTTTGGTTTCGAAGGATTGATTCAACCTTCCAATGCAAGGCTCACAGCAACACACCAGCTGTTGGCGGCAGTGGAAGTGGGACGTCCACATTTCCATTGGGTTAATCGGTTGAATTGTCAAATTTCTCAATTTGGGTGAAGGATCATGTTCCGTGTTTGAGCTGGACGAAAATTGGAGGAGGCATGTAAGAATCGGTATCGGTACGGTACGGTATGGTACTCAGTAGGTACTGTACTCAGTTGTTGGTAAATAGGTACGGTACGGTACGGTACGGTACGGTACGTAGCGCCAGTACCCGATTGGCGTTGGCTCGGGAAATTTAGAATATAAGGGGGGTTTTAGAATGTTCTTTGCGCGAGTAAAATTATGGTCACGAAATCGGAACAGAACGATGATGCGGCGGAGCAAGCTCGAGCGAAGACACCATCGGCCGGTACAGCGCATGCTACGAGCCCTGTCGATCCCAACATTGGCTGGCAACTCTGTTGTACTCTTGCTAGCTAGTCTGAAAGATACGGTACCGTACGGGTGTACTCCTTGCCTTCATTGGTCCAGTGGCTACCGATATCAGGCAGACAGTAAACAGACACCAAGCAAAGTAACCCACGAATTGCTGGACTTCGGCGAGGAGCGCCGTTGGTATCGTGTTCGTCCACTGCCCCTGCAACACTCCACTCCTTTTGGTGCTCTGAGGGATAGCTTGTGGACAACTGCTCGTTTAGGTTTGTCAAGTCGCAAGCATCGAGTCTACAGCGTCCAAAACTTTTTAAATATTCCTAGACCATCCTATCCTTATTAGCAGCTACCGAGCCGAGCACACTAGTGCGAGGATGACACCGGAACCTTGTTCTCAAGCTCAAGGCCACTCTTCCAGTCCAACCAAACGTCGACCCAACTGGCCCAACGACTCGGGCAACGCCGCCAAGCTAGGGACCGCTTCATCCTTACCATAGTTTCTCAGCACTCGACGGGGAGCGTACCGATCATGCTCTTCGTAGAACCGGTCTCCGGTTTCAGCTGCGGGAAAGAATCGAATGTACTGGTGCAACCGCATCTTATCCGAGACATTCTCCGCGGTGGCGTGCAACTGTCCCCAGGTCCAAATGATCATTTCTCCGCGGCGCAGGGGGATTTCTTGCATGTGTTGTCGGATGGGGTCCGTTTCGGGCGGGCGATGGCTGGTCCTTTTCATATTCACATTGGAGGGGCAGCCATGCTCTTGACACCACTGCGACATAAAGGCAGTGCCTCCAGGTAAGGTGTAATGACAACCCATGCCGGGTCGATGCTCGTTTAGAGCCACTACCGCCTGATATCCAGGGTTCCTTCCCTGTCGCTCGACCTCATCAACCCACAACCAAGGATTGTAGTCCCAATGTGGTGTGATACCTTTGCCCCAGCGGGGCTTGTCAGTCAATTCGATGGTCGCGTCTTCGCCGCTGCTGGTTGTCGTCTCCTGGTTCAGGTTAAGGTTGCGAGAGCCTCTGGTCGCTCCCCAGTTGTCAATGGACACTCGCAATCTGTCCTCTCCCCACAGCGCTGCAAACAACTGATACACGTGCGGAGCAACACGATTTTCAAATGCTTGGGGGTGAAATGCGGGTCGGGGTATCAGGAACTTTCTTTCCGAGGGCCAATTGCTATCTACCCAAGTCCATTGTTTGTAGGGGTTGACCGGAGTAGGTGCTGGCCTTCCCGCCGTGGCCGCCCTTTCCGCAGCGAGATCATTGATTTCGTCAAACATTGCTTCGATGGTCTTTTCACAAACCTCAGTGTCGAATGCCTTGACAACAACCAGCCCATACTTGTTCAAAGTTTCCCGGATTTTGTCATGTTCGGTAGCTTCCAAAGACATGACGAAGGCATCATCCGTGGTGGGGTACCGAGGGAACAGCTTGGTCCATTCCTCGGGGCTTCGCTCAGGGACGTGGATCTCGGGGCGTCGATGCGCCAGCTTTTGCAGCAATCGCTCCATCCACATTCGATCCAGCTGCACATGTGGTGCCAAAGCGCTTGTATGTTCCAGCATCTCTTCAATTTTGCTCTGTTCGTAGGGTGGGGCACTCGTTTCGTAGACGGAGATAACGTACTCTTCCGCTTTGGCATACTCTTGTCGTCTCAGTTCCTTATCAACCGTCATTGTTGGAGTTTATTCTTTGGGTACACTTTCTCTTGTGGTGCTTTTCTGTTTTCGTTGTTTTGTTTTTGTGGAGGGAGGGGGAACACAGAAAGGTGCGACGACGAAACGTCCCATACCCACGTCTGATGTGGTTCGGTTCGCATCACAAGATCTTCGACTGTGATGCCATACCGGTACAGACAGTGGTACAGGGTTCATGTACATTGTCTGTCCTTTTGGGTTTGAAGCTACCAGGATATGTGGGGTGAAGCAGCCAACCGTCCACGCGCACCCCGTCGCTGCCTTCCTTCCTCTGGCCTCCTAGTACTACCAGTAGCTAGCTAGCAGCAGAGCCAGGCGATGCTGGGACGTTGCGTTTGCCCCTTCAAGCTTTGCTCTCTATCCCAAGATACTACTGGGAAGCTTGGCTTTGGAGCTGTCAGGTAAATGTATGCGTTCTTCAACATAATCCCTACTGTTCGATGGTCTTGGTGTTGGATGTTCAAAGCTTGCTGGAAGCTTGGCTTTGGAGCTGTCAGGTAAATGTAGAGTCTATGCGTTCTTCAACATAATCCCTACTGTTCGGTGGTCTTGGTGTTGGAGGTTCAAAGCTTGCTGGGCAAGGCAAAGAGGCTGCAGCCAAAAGCTACTAGTACTGGTATCACGGCAAGGATTGGATATCGTACCAGTATGCATTTCTCGAGGTCGCGGTAGTTGTCCTGGTGGAAAGGTGTACTACTTCGTTAAATCAAATCAGAATGAAGAACACAGATGAAACAGAGAGAAACCGGAAGGGAAACCATCACAATAATCAAATCCAGCGCGACTTAAAGTCCACAAGATGGACACGCGACTTGGTTGTACGCGATGTATCAAGCTCTCCACTTCATCATCCCCATTCTCACCACAACACTACAACAGCGGTTTGTAGAAGCCTTGCACAAACACAAACCATGGGAGCCATGGACGCGAAGAACCCCGATCGCGATACTACCTCTGGTGCTGCCGCTAATTGCGCAATGGTCTCCATGGATGGAGACACTGCTGATACGCCGCCGCCAGCCAGGAAAACCATAGCTCGTGCCACAGCTGCACGCCGTTTCAGCCCAAGTGAGCTGGCTGATGATGACGATGTGAAGTTCTTTTGGGCTGGAGCAACAGCTGCTGCAAGTCATGGTGTTAGTTCCAACCGGCTCACAGCACTGTGGAAGACAGCTGCTCAGACAGTACGTATTGCATCATCATTATCACCCTCCGCCCCTGTCAAGAAAGATGAGAAAACTATTCGCAATGAGACTCTCCAAAAGTTCTTTGAGGGGCTTGATTTGGACAACAGTGGTTTGCTGGAGCGCCATGAACTACGGGCCATTTTGTCAGAAGCATCAAGAACAACCAAGCTAACATTGGATGATTCTATCATTGAAGCTGCCATTGATGCACTGTTGGAAGATGCCCAGTCTGAAGATGCCGCTGAAGTCGTATCAACTGGATCAATTAATCTAGAGCAGTTCATTGACATCTTCCACCGTCATCCAGAAATGTACCGACTCTTTGAGACAAACGAGACTACCAAGGATCTGAAAGACTATGTCAAAAATCGCCGAGCATCACAGAAAGAAGCACTTTTGGAAATGAAGGAAAACGAACAAGCGTGGAGTTCCAGCTGGATTGATTGGAATGTCACCACAGTTTGGCTTGGTCTCTACATCCTGGCCACCATCATTGCTTTTGCCACCAAAGCACACAAATATGCCAACCACGAGGAAGCTCAAGCAGTGTTTGGAGGCTGCATTGTGGTGGCAAGAGGGGCTGCTCAGTGTCTCAACTTGAACTGTGCCTTGATACTATTCCCCATAGCAAGAAGCTTCATGACTTATCTCCGGCAGACACAAGCCCATCATTACTTTCCATTTGACCATGTTGTTTCTATCCACATGATTCTGGGAGCTGCCATTCTATTCTGGACATGTCTTCATGTGGGAGCACACATCTGCGATGTGCATCGCTTGGCTCTTGCAGATCAAGAAGACATCTATGCATTGTTTGGGGAAGAAAATCTCCCAAAGAATCCATTGCCTGAAGATCCAGGGGCCCGCTGGTCAATGGTACTCTTCCAAACCCGTGCTGGAGTGACTGGCATTTTCATGGTTCTCTGCGTTCTTGTTGCTTATCCATTGATCTATGTCTGTCGTTCATATTTCAATGCATTTTGGACAAGTCATCATTTGCTTCTCCTCATGCTGTTGGCCCTATGTGTTCATGGGACTGGGAACTTGCTGGAGCACTATCAATCTGTCTTTTGGCTTGCCATCCCCCTCAGTATCTACTTGATCCCACGCATTTGGCGAGAAACCCCAGCTAGCAAGACACCAGTCATTGGTGCAAATGTCAAGCCTGGAGGGGCCTTGTGGCTACGGCTGGAGAAACCAGAATCCTGGAATTCACAAGTTCATGCAGGCATGTACGCACTCATCAATGTCCCTGCTATAAGTCTTTATGAATGGCACCCCTTTACCCTCACATCATCCCCATCTGAGCCATTCATTGAGTTTCACATTCGAAATGCAGGTGACTGGACCAACAAGCTCCACAAGCATGTCCAAATGCTCCATGATGACAGCTGCCACAACTGCAGCAATTATGCAGACTCTGCCAACAGAGAGAGCAGAAGCACTGACTACAAAATGACCAATGACCAATCAGCAGCAAGCAGAAAGACAGAGATTGAGGAGACATCATCAACACAGGATGTTGACAGCTCAACTATACAAGCAGCAGAGGGCAAGAGACAGTCAAACCAACCGAGGACATTGTCCACACGTTCACAGCCACTGGCAATTCGAAATTTGATTGTCAAGGCAGAAGGGCCGATTGGGGCTTCGTCACAAGGATTTGTGGACTACCCAATTCTGGTTTTGGTGGGGGCAGGGATTGGTGTGACTCGTAAGTGCCCTCTGCTCATTACATGATTCGTTCCTTCCCCTTGCTTCATATGAAGGATTGTGGCTCATCCAATCTCTGTTCCTCTTGTATCTATATTGGCTCCTTCACAAACCACAGCCATGATTAGTGTTCTCAAAGAGCTATTGGTCAATCCAGGCAAGATGGAGAGAGTGTTCTTCTACTGGACAGTCCGCGACCGCAATGCCTTTGAATGGTTTAGTAAGCTTATGAATGATGTCTATCAGCAGGACAAGAAGAAAGTCTTGCAAGTCCGTCATTTTCTGACTTCTGTGAAGGATGATGATCGTGACATTGGAGCAGTTCTATTGCATCATGCTGCTTGCGCTAAGCACAAGGCTAGCAACTTTGACTTGATCTTGGGTCAGCAAACCCATCACCAGGTAGCAGTTGGACGACCTGATTGGATCATGGAACTCAAGAGTGTCCAACAGGAAGCTTGCAACCTGGGGCATCAGAGGTGTGGCATCTTTTTGTGTGGTCCTGCAAGAATGGCAGAAGCTATAGCCAAGGTCAGCAATGAGTACTCCACAGGGGATTTCAAATTTGATTTCAACAAAGAGACATTTTAGCTATGGACGTGAATCGTCACAGCAGCAAGGAGGTGAGCAGCTCTTGTCAAAATCATGGTTTAAAACTACCTAGCACAAACATCTATAGTCGATGCGTAGCAACTATAGAGACTCAAACTAAGTACCGGTAAGTGATCGATCGTTCATGATTAGTTGAAAGGCGTATCTTGCGCTGTCGCAGTGGAAGTTCAGGTGCTTGAACACGAGCAAGCAGCACAACCACAGAGGGACGTAGTACAATCAAAGTCAAAACCACAAAAAACTCGAACGGGTTCGTTACTTGGACCTTGAGGCACTAAAAACTCGCAAGTTTTATCGGCATTCAGCTTGCATAGCTCCTCTGGAACAGCTCCCGACAACTCGTCGTTGCCTTCTACAGTGACCCAGCGTTTGGATCTGTTTTCGTGTGCCCAGGCTAGTTCCTCTGGCAGCTGGCCTGTCAAGTTGTTGTCATCAAGTCGAAGTACTTGTAGTTCCCTCAACACAGCCAGCTCACTGGGAATGCTGCCCGATATGCGATTGTCCTGCACCTCGAAAGACTTCAGCCCAGATATCAAACCGATCTCCGAAGGCAAGCGTCCACTCAAGGAGTTGCCTGAAAGTTTCAGAGCCTTCATGTAAGCCAAATTTCCCAGTTGGCTGGGAATGGAACCTTGGGTCAAGTGGCAAGACCTCGCGTGAGGATGGCAGCAGGCAGGATCTTACCAGTAGAAGAGGATGCAATGCACTTACCAGTCAAGTCTGGACTTCGCATCAAGCCAAGCCAAGTGAGTTTCGTCAAAAGACCAACTTCGGACGGTATAGATCCCGTCAACGAGATATCCCAGAGCCCCAAGTCAGTCAGTTTGGTGAACAGTCCAATTTCACTGGGGATCGACGAAGGCAATAGGTCATCACTATTGATCCGAAGTCGTTCCAAGTTGGTCAGCTGAAATATTTCTCTAGGCATCACGTCAGCCAGGGTGTAGTTGTGACCACCATTTTTGCCAAACTCCATCCGTTTCAAGGATGTCAACAGCGACATTTCCCGCGGCATGGAGACATGGGAAATCGAAAAGCCCAAGTATGACCCCTGCGTAAGAATGAGGTTCTCGAATTCACCTCTTTCATTGCAGGCCAACCCCCCGTCTGCTTGCAAATACACGTCCTTGTCCACAAAGTTGCCATAGAGGCCAGAGTACCAATCACATTCTGTACAGCAGAGTCGGATACCAGCATCAGAAGAGGAAAAGGCAAATGCATCGCGCTCGCCTGTCGAGAACTAACTTACCGGATTTCGTATCGTCGAGCCAATCCTCCGACAGACCAAGTGGCCACCGCGGCCCACCAAACTCGTAGTAGAACGTCGCGAGAGCAAAGAGTTGCTTCTGTCTCCAGAGGGGGAGAATTGAGATGTCTTGATGTCTGGCAAGCCAGTCCCTGGCTTGGGACTGGGACGACATTGGATCCTGAAGGCTCTGCATGGTGAAGCTTGGTAAGACTGCCATGAGCTGATCGAGTTGATCGGATGGTGCTGCAGATGGGGCTGCCGACGGGGCAGCGGATCGCAAGGTCGAGGTGGACGCTGTGAGGATCACCTCGTTGGTTTTGCCTTTTGCAACTGTGCAAGGTACGACAATTGCCACTACCATACATAGCAACGCGGCAATGATCAAGAGGCGGCACGGCACCTTCTTTCGGTACGGCCCATCTTGCTGCTGATTTGGTTCCGGGACGGGTTCTGCGAGACCATGAATCATGTGTTCGTCGTTGGCATCCACCTCGACAGCCTCTACAAGGCCTGAAGTATTGGCGGGAGGAAGCGGGCAGACAGACACCTCATTTTGCATCCCGCTATCAACTCTGGTTGGGATAGTATTTTCTTGCCCATTCTCAGTGTTGTTTTGGGGCGGCAAAGGCGCAACAGCGTAGGCTCCGGGTTGGGATTGGTCAGTGCACGGTTGATCGGTCCTGCTACCGCCAACCTCTCCTCCTCGTACTTGTATGAACGCTGCTATCCCCGTTTTACATGTACCATTCCTTTCAAGCATTGTTATTACACTTTCCTTGGTGTTGGCATCAATCTGGTTCTCCACCGCCAGCTCCTGTCCTGGTTTTGTTCGTGACTTCTTGTCGGGGTCATGAACTTGATTCTCATGATGGACGCTGTCTTCGCTCACCGGTATGTTGGCCCTGTTGACCCTACCCTGTTCATCCGCAGCGGCTAATGCTCGCTGTTGAACAATGTCCATGAGAAATGTGCTCGTGGTCGATCTTAACATCTCACACTTTTCAATATCTTGTTCATCCTCGCATCTGGAACCTGCCCTGGCATCCGCACCGGTACTTCTACCTCTTTCGAAGGAATGCACTTCGATTCGTTCCTCATCGTTGAGCTCGGCGGCTCTCTTGTTTTCCTCTTTCATGTTGTCTTGCATCGAAACAATCGGCCACTCTCGCCAGCAAACAAAAAAAACGGAAGAAGATACTACTCTTTTATGGGTTCGAGGGGACTACGGTGAGGATGGGTTTCAGCGGTTCAGTATTAGGAATTATGAAACAATTTTATTCATCATTCATCTTTCTGTGTGTACCACCCACAGCTTTTGGTCACCTATGACTTCGAAAGGAGATAATGTATGTAGGTCTAATGTATGTGATAATGTTGTTTCGGCCTCTTCTGGCTTGTTGCTTGTGGCCATTGATTGAATGATTGAATGATGAAGGGAAAGTCGAACGATCAGTCAATCATTCTGTTGATCGCTGTAATAACTCGCGGAAATGGTTACTGAGTACTAGCTAGTAGCTTGTATGGTGTACTTTTACGGTACATGTTCATACATGTAAATGTAAATGATCCAATGATCCAATCGATCTGTTCCCGTTCTGTTTCTTGGAAGTCATCGACTGCATAAATCTTGATCAGAAGTTGAAGCCTTTTCCAAACTAGTAAAACAAGTCATTTGAACAAATCAGTGCATACATGTACCAGTACTACATACTAGCTTACATACTACACACTACTGTACTCCTCGAGTACTCAAGTAAGCCAGTGGTAGGCCACTAATTCCCAACTATTCACCTTAGCTCTTCCCTGAGGTTCCTCGCCACTCTCCACCCTCGACCACCAACCACCAGGACCCCAGGAACTCCTGGCGACCCACATGAGGCCGACCAGTCCCGAACACATGAAACAAAACATGTTAGATTTAACAGTGAAACACATGGACTTAGACCAAGTGCACAAGACAACACTCGGAGATAAAAAGGAGTCCAGTCACGGACAAAAGACTTACGTGAACGGCTGAAGAAAGAAAGGCCATGACAGCAACAGAAGAAGCTCACGGCGGCAACAGCGCACAACAAACCGCTCCAGTGCTGTGGAAAGGAGAGCACACAGCCAGAGCGGCAGGCAAACCCGAAGGAGATGAACTCGGCAATGTAGTAGACACACGGCGATGCAGGTGGGCGAAGGAAATGGCGACAGGGGATCTTGATGTCGAAATAGCCAAAACGCCGCAGGTAGGTGGGGATGGTGGGACGTTGCTTGAAATAGAAAGGGACTGCGGGAAACAGGAGATGGATAGGAGAAAACAGAATGGTTAGTACGGCAGGCACAGCAACCAGCAGAAACGAAAACAGCCATGGTCGCACTTACATTTGGGTAACAAAAAGAGGAGGAATGAGGAGGGGGGGAAAAGAGGAACGATTCTCCCGCCAAAAGGATCCCCACTCACCAAAATTTCGGCGCAATCGCACTTGGATCCTCCTTCGAACCCAAGCAAAAATTCATTGAGTAAGGCCGCAACAGATGAGCACGCATGAAGAAACGGACACCATGCAAGGATTTCGGAGCATTCGAATGGGTGTCGAAAGAAGGTTCTAGAAGGAACAACAGAACGTTCTGGAATTGGAGTTGCATTTCGAAAATTCCAGCTCGAACACTCACAATACAATCATATTTCCCTGTTGATCATGGTGGATAGCGTAATAGTAAATAAAACAGTGTAAACATGTCGCAACAATGGAATAGAAACCAATGGAATAGCAACCAGTGGAACCAAGGGTCTCAAGAATACCACTGGCGAACCTATTATGGATCAGATGGATACAACGTAGCAGGTGGTGGAGGATTCGTGACGAACCATACAGTCGCAGGACAATGTGAAACTAACAAACAACCCAGCAGGTTGTCGCATTTCATAGAAGATGCCAAGTGCAAATCATGCGATACATTGAAGGATGCTCAAGCTGAGGTGGCTAGTCATTATGGTGGATACTATATGGACGTTTATTGCATCAAGACGGATGGCACCGAGAAGGGCAAAGACTGTACGAAATACAAGTACCACTGCACCGCGACGAAGGAGCACAAGGAAACTGGTATGGCAGTGAAATGCAAATGGAGATGCCAGATCAGGAAGCAGACATTGGGGAACCGAGAGACTTACAAAGTTTATTCCAAGGGATTCTTACAGCATAACCACCCAATGAAACAAAACCCAAGGTCTCCGCAAGATCAACATGGATTGCCCCTTGCTGTTCAAAGTTTTGTACAATCCATGATAAGACACGAACAAAGTGTCAGGAACAGATCCCTTTTAAAGATCAGGCCGGATGAGATCCGACAAGGACTTACCCAAGCCATCGAGTGCAGTAGACGACACAACAACAGCAACCACCCTCTCTACCAGTACGTGTACCTGTTGCAACCGGATTATAGAGAACACCTGAAGGGCCAAGTCAGGAGCTACATGGATCACCAAAAGATCAACTACATGGAGTCACAGTTGGGGAAACACCGTAAGCTGGACACTGCGTACAATCTATACCGAGCACTGCAGAACTGGCGAATGGACGTACCGGCTGGTTACGAACCAAAGTGTTATGACACTGCCGATGCCCTGGCCGTCGCACTTAACGCGAATGTGGATGACATGTTCGTGTTTGACCTGACTTTCGGAAAAGTTCATAGGCGTTTTGTCCAGGCAATGCAGATGGAAACCTCATCCAAGCGGTCGGAATTCAAGGAAAAGATGGAGCAAGCTTTCTTTGCGACATCTCCTACTGGACTGTTCATGCTTATGAACCTTGCACTCCGTCCCAAAGGAACAAGGCAAATTTGCGCAGATGGAACCGGAGGAACATGTGTCGACTTGAGTACTCTAATTGTTATTGGAGCATTATCTGTGAAAGAAAGAGAGACACAAGGGCAGGTCACATCGTCGTTGAGACCAATAGCATACCTGCATGTGGGTGCCGAAAGGTTCTACCCGTATTGTCTCACCTTGTTTGTTTTGAGGAGTGTTTGCCGTACGCTGTTCAATGTGGACTTTCAGCTGGATTGGGGAACCTCCGACAGAGCCGATGCTTTTATAAAAGCACACCGCTACTTTCATAATAACCCCTTCAGTTGCGATGAGGACACCGAACCATCCTTGACCGAACCATCGTTGACCCAAGCCGAATCCACCAAGATCATCCAAGACGGTCCAGATGAAACCGTGAGCTCCAGTTCCATAGTTTCACAAGGGATTGATTGGCAACGGTGGAGACAACAGGCATTGGTACCTCCTCACAAGCACGCAGCCACATTGTGCTATTTTCATGTCATGCAACACTTTTCCAAGAATGATGGATACGTAAACAAATTCAAAGATAGATCATTTGCGCGAACCAACAAGAAGGGGAACAACGTCAAGTCAGAGGCTTACTGACAGCTCCAATTGATACACCACTGCAAGACCACCGAACAGCGGGCAAAAGTGACTGAACTGGTCCTCCGACACTGGTCTGAGGAACGCAATGAGCTGGAAGCAGCTGAGCATTATATGCGTATGTATGCCACTGGACCATACTTCAATCACAACTATGCCTGCACGGGTTACGTTGGAGTCCCATGCAGTAATTGCAGTAATGAGAGTCACAACTTTCATGCAATCAAAGCAAAGAACTCACCAGTTGAACTGAACGTGTCACTTGCACGTCTTCTGGTTGATACTCTTGTAAGTCTCTTGAAAAGGGACGCCATGGATAGAGCTGATCCGTGCACTATTGTCATACTCCGAACATGCTCCATCTTGTGCCTTATAGTCACAACGTTCATGGATATGAATCGAGACATTGTTCCAATCACATCCAATGGCATGGGAACACCGAAGGCCTGGATAGCCAATATTGGGTTTCGGATTGGTCATGCACTGACCAAGGAACGGATTAATCTCATAAGAGCGTCTCTGAGTGGTGACGAGGAGCCTTTCGATGACTTGTACTCTGAAGAGGGACAAGGCTTTGACACAACAGCACATAAAATGATTGCCGCCACAAGAAACTGCTGCGTTCTTACCGTTCGAAAGGATGATAATGCCATTGTTGGTGACTGCGAAGAATGTCGAAAGCGGAACGGATACAACTGCCCTGCAGCAGCCTACCTCAGAAGCAGGTATGGACAGTTCGATGTGGATCTCGAAGATATGAGAAAGGTCCCCTGCAATAGCCGGAGACGTGGATACAAGGCACAAGGAAGAGGCCGACGAGAAGGCATGTACACTGGAGGACTTCTGAAGGATGGTAGAGTTGCACGGAAGACCCCGAAGATGCTTGAGACGAAGGCTTCTTTTCTAGAATGTCTCTCGACTGAGCACAAAGTTCAAGCTGTGAATTACCTTGGTTTGGAGGTTTCGGATGAACAGAGGTCCCGGTTCAAGGCAGATCAGACAACAAGCAAGAACGCCGAAGATTCCATGTGCCTGCAAGAGCTTCTTCTCTTCATGAAAGATGGTCCTGAATACAGGAATTATCAGCAAAAGCAGTACAAGAAGACGAAAAGCGAATGAGGTAAGGAGTATCGTTTCGAACTGAAAAATGAGGCCGTTCGCATATCTTACATCCTTTCCCATAGTCAGTGCAGGCAGTGGTGCGTACCTGGTGACAGCAACGGTGCGGAGCAGTTTCTAGTGACCGTGCACGTTCCTGAAAGATCCCAACGCCAAGATTAAGATACAAGCACGATATATTACGTAGCTCACGATTATCCACTTTCCTGTAGAACGTTGTCATGTATTCAGTCTCAGAGGCTTGACTGAGAGCAAACGATGGACTTCTCTTCTTCTTTCGTTCTTGCGGCATGATCTGAAGCATGCACGATGACAAGTGAGCAATACACAGATGTTGATTATTTGGAAACTGACGGAACGTACCGTGCAACAGGATGGACTTGTTGTTTGCGCGACTAGCCCCATCCTCATAAATCGAATTGTCGTGTACTTGCTTCCATTCGATTCCTGTTTGTATTCTTACTTCTTTCAAGTTGACCATTCCATTGCTTCCTTTTGGCATTGCTTCTTTGAAGTTCAACCATGGCGGATCCCCCTCGCCGCGAGCATCGTCGCACTCCTTCACCAGTCAAGAAGCCTGCCCCCCGTAA